TACAACTCTGATGCTTCTCAAAGACAAAAGGAAACATTTCACGTTTTTTTTATCTTGAAATCATAAAATTCCTTTGCTAAATAACACTTTAATTGATTATCAGCTGCTAAGGACACCTGCAGTTTTTGGTGTCGATCATTTCCAGTTTTGTGAAGCCAAACTAGATGAAACAGCAGGAAGCAAACAAACTGGCACTAAAGTTAAACAGTAAACATTAGAAAACCAGCTGCTAAATTTAATTGATGATTATCTCAATAATTGATGAATTACAATTAATCTGATTGTTTCTGCCCTAAAATGATGGAATGGTTGTTAATCTATACATCCTAAAGTAACCAAACCCTGGATCCAGGCCGCCATGTTTCTTTCTGAATCAAACCTTCCTTTTTGTTCTGGTTTAAACCGAGAAGAAAGAAAAAAAAAGAGCTTAATGTTCGGCTGATTTATGAAGTAAAGTACCAGATGGAGTTTGATCTGACATCAGTATTTGCTTCTATACATTCTATATTAGAGCCAGAGGAGGAACCCATTCTGTCTGATTTATTTCTGTCGGGTTGAGAGGTCTGCCATCAGAAAGCTCTAAATCGACCTTCCGGATCACCGGATCCGCCGTCTACCAGCCCGACGTTAAAAAACGCACCGGATCCGTCTTCCAGCCACCTTCCCTGGATCTCGCCGTCTGCCTTTGTTTCCAGCGCTCAGCGTCGGCTCTTTGTGGAGAGCTCTGGGGGTGTTGCAGCGAACATGGCAACACGCCAAGGGACGGCGAGGAACAAGAGAGGCAGGAATGAACACACTGTGCTGCAGAGAGACGGGAAGCAGAGAGTCGCTGTCAGAGCATGCGTGTAGGGGAGGACACGCTCACTCCTCTGAGTCACAGAGCGAAGGGGGGGTGACCCCCGCCGGTCCTGACAGACGATTGGTCGCACCCCCCTCGCTCCCTCCACCCACCGTCCCCTCCCCCTCCCGTCAGCCAAACACAGGAGGTGAGGAAATCCAGCCATGGCTCCTTCTCCCTCCGTCTCTCTGAGCCTCACACGCCACGCCTGATTCACGCCACGGGAATCAATGCACGCGTTTGATGTGTGAAATTCCTGCACTTGAACGTACCTGCAGATCATGAGCAGAGCAGTGATGAAAAATGCATCCCGGGTGCAAAGGAGCAGCTCCTCTGCTACCGACACGCCCTTCAATCGGACAGAACCGGACATGTGGGCTGCAGAACCGTAACCAGGCAAACTGTCCAGGTTCAGAACAAAGAGCAGAAGCGGATGGAGGGGGGGGGGGTTCACTGTACGCCTGACCTTCCTGGCCTCAGCCATCCCATTCAGACTCACAGATTAAAGGATGCCATTTTAAAAACAGATACCAGGCTGCCTATCCATCATCCCCCCAAAGCTCCATCTGACTCCTCAGTGCAGCGCGGCGTGCTCCCGGCGTGGCCCGTTCAGCCCGTCGCCGTTTCATCCAAGAGTTTCCCTCCAGTTATAAAGTTAAAAAGATTAAGAAGCATTTTGAGGGAAACCAATTAGAGACAAACCGATATTTCTGGCCGATGCTTCTCTGGTTCAGTGCGATGCAACACTCAATCTGCTTTAAATCAGGTAACTAGAGGAAAATAAAACAACAATATTGGAGTAAAAAAATAAAATAAGCAGAATGTATCAGGGTCGGTGGAACCGATATCTGATCTGTCCTGAATATTTAAAACAAGGTGCTCATAAGCAGCTGCATGCAGGGATGTCAGGATGCTAATCAGTAGAGATTTACTGTTAGCTACTCACGTGTTTTATTTTTATTAGAAAACAAACTGATGAAGACTTTAAGTTTAAAAAAAACCTTAAAGTCAGTTTTAAAATTCAGACGCAAATAATGGATGACAGGAGCAACAACCAGTGAATGCAAAGGGTTTCATCAGCCTCCACCAGTATTCCCAGTTTACTGTCGCTCATCTATGAGCAACTGGTGCCTGAGCTCCCATGAAAAACAGATTCTACTGAATGATCTGGGTTCAGCGTTTCAGACACAATGACGGCTGATCTGCTGGGATCCAACAAACACGCCAAGGTTAGCAACACAGCATATAGTGAAGATTTTTAAAAAAACTCCTAACAGGCAGCACTTTTCTCTTTTCTGTCACTAATTACCTGCCTTTATCTTCCATTTCACGTGTATTAAATGTTGTACTAATTTGCACAAATTTCAACAATCATAAACAGAGAGCGCTCCCATTTTTGTGCGTCTGCAGCAGGTGGGTGGAGTTTAACCCTTTAAAGCCCGATCCAAGAATAAAACAAAAACAGAAAATTACTTTTTTTTTTGGTTTGAAGTCCTTATTTGGCCTTTTAACAAAATATGTAAAAAGAAAAAACAGAACTAAATTTTGGATATTAATAATTTATTACTATGCGATACGTCAAGATTATTTTTTGTGTTTCTTCTGCCCTCTGTTATCAGGTATATCTGATTGTGTACAATAGTTTTTACCATTAAATTATGCAGAAGGTGTCAGACGCAAAACATTTCAGAAACCGTTTGTATCAAATATGATACATTTGGCATTATAGGGTTAAGAAAAACACCACACAAACGCACCATATTTATACAAATGCATATTTTCCCCTATTTGTTAGGGGGGGGGGGAACCGTTTTCAAAACCTAAAGATGCTAAACTAATCATTGGATCCTTAAAAAAAAATTAAGACGTTTAAACAAAAACTGTTATAAACACAAACCTGATCAAGTCAATCAGAGCAGTAAAGAACAGATTTGGTGACGATATTTTCCTAAACAGTAAAAACAGGTTATTATAGCAGCTTTGCAACTGATTTCAACAACAGCTGAAATAAATCTATGGAAAAATATCAACATGTGAGCGAGACTAATGAAGCCTGTTTTTTATTTAAATCGATGATAATTATTTACTCATCTTTTCCTGCAGCATTAAGAAGCGTAATGCAGTTTTGCACAGGTGGTTCCAGTCTAAAACCATCCAAACAAAACACTGCAGGTTCACCACAGGCCAGGGGTCAGGGCCCCTCCCTATTCAGTCCCCCCTGCAACTAATAAGTCCTGATCTGCCACATTCTGCATAAAAAGAGAATTGAAGCTCTTTCCTTCCAGAAAGCTGCCCCTCCCCCCTCCATAAGGACCAGTTCCCTCTGAACACCCCCCCTCTCCTCCCCCAGCAGCACAAACACACACCTCCACTGAGGTCCCATTTCACTACCAGCTGAATCCTGCAGCCTAGAAGGTGTTTGATGCTGTTCTCACATCTGAACCATGATTCCAGATGTGGAACTCCATCATCATCATCACTAGGAGGAAATATTCAGTTTTAAATCCAAAATAAAGCAGAAACCTTTTTTTTGAGATTTATTTGTTGTATAAAAATAAATCAAATGGGGTTTGATTGTTGATTTTTTTTTAAAGGCACTAGAAAAGAAAAACTCCTCTTGAATTTCCGTAGCGCATCATAAAGGCGCGTGCAGAAACAAAAGAGTCTGTTAATAATTTGTTTTTTTGTATTTTCACTTTAGTGATGAAATGTGAAAAAGCCTGCTGTTCCTGAGGGGCTGAGAGTGAACGGCCATTTGAAGAGGCAGCTCCCAAAGTTGGGCCATGAGCGGAAAAGAGCCGCAAAAACAGCCGCTAAACGGGCTGCGGAGCCGCAGAGGAAAGGCCCGCTCGCCCCTGGCTGCTGGAGGGGGCTGGCTGCCTGTCTGCCTGCACTGTTGCAGCCAATTCCTTTCAACTGAAAGCTTCGCCATTTTGCAGCCTGCTTCTTTTTTCGCCTGATGGAACCACGTGTTCAGCGCCACGGTGATCCTACAAAGCGACCACCGTTAGCAGAGAGGGAAGGCCTGGAAGGAACCAGAAAAATGTTTATTTGCAGACTTTTAAAGCCGCAGATCGCTTCTAGGTTTTGTCCACATCCACAGATTCCTCCTTGCAGCCCAGCGGGGAAAAACAAAGCGGGGGAGTTTCAGTGTTTTGGGGAATTTTAACTGTTATCAGGCATCAGGACGGACACCTAAAAGCCTGCTCCTGGTTAAAACCTCTGTGCTGCTGGTAAATTAATGTGCAGACATGAATCAGTGTGAGCATCAGTTTATGGTGATAGTGGAGCTCACGCAGGAGGAGCACGTTCAGCCAAATGGCGGAGCTCCTCTATCTGGGCCAAAGGTTACAGCCACGAATCATCGACTATCTGCTAGATCTAGAAAAACAGAGCGACCACCGAAACACGCCAGCAAAATAAAACCACCATATGCAGACCCTCTGATGCTGAACTAAAGCACATTTATAAACAAAACAAACTAGACGTGCTATAGAAAGGCAGGTTTACAGTTATAGTAGCTAAATTAATTCAATTAAACAATCAGTTCACTACGAGACATTTTTTAATTCCAATTATTATTAAGCAAAATACTGTAAGAGCAGACTATAACTTAATACGTTGTCAGCAGGAATAATTGAATAAAACTGAACACAGACTCGCACTGCAAGCATGAAAACACAACTATTATGTAGTGTATTCTATACTATATCATAGTACTAAAGTATAATATACGAGATGCAGAAGATTAATGCACTATAAAATATACTGCATATTTTAGTGGCTGTTGTAACATTTAAGTCAGGCAGGGCCGCCTGTTGAGTTTCTGTAGGGGTTGAAGGTTACGGCGGAAAATTCCCTGATTTACTGTAAAAATGTGACGTTTTACTTTAAAAGCTAGATTCACCAAAGCACCAATATGAGCCTGTTTGAAAGACTGGAGAGCCAGGCAGCCAGAAGAGGCCAGCAGGAGCCTCAGGCAGAGCGGGTCCTCAGCAATGGCGGCCGGCAGCAACAACCAGATAACCAGCCTCCATCATCCAGCGACACACCGCGGAACACAGCAGCACAGAACTCACAGCACCGCCATAAATGTGACAAACTCACGCAAATGTGTTTAGAAAACAGTTTAAAGTGTTTGGTGGTGGGTTTTTTTTAGTACCTTTGTTTCTTGGGGACAGAATGCTCCACCTCAATGCGTTTCCCATGAAGTTCCACTTTACCTGAAGAGAAGAACAAGAAGGGTCAGAATAAATCAGATTAAATCATCCCAGATCAGAGGCTACAGGCTAACAGCTAGCTGCTATTTACAGCATGGTGTTGCAGCAACAAAACATCTAATAACCTGATTATTAAGAAAGTAAAATACGATAAGAAAAGACTCGGAAATAAAAATAAAAAAACAGCTATATATAAATATTTTTTTTTTTTTTTTTAACAGCTAGAGTAAAATAGAAACTTTCAACCCAAATCTGCAGGATTCATGTTTTGTATGAAACTGTTGTTAAAACATGAATGATTTAGTAGTGATAGTTCATTGGAAAGCTGACTGGCCTGCAGACCAGGGGGCCCTATGGAACTGGGTAATAAGAACTGGGTTTACTGGTTCCTCTCTTCAATATAGGTCAGACTTATCTGTCTTAAACACAAAGGCCAAAATTATTTAATGTAGCTGGTTAGATGTTCACCTCTACCATCGTGACCTACCCCACCCCCTTGCAAAAGTTGAACGACCCCCCCTCGGTGCACGACCCACGGCCCCCCTTCAGCCATGGAGGCCGGGTTAAAGACGCTCTCGAGCGGCTGAAGCATTTGTGGATCTGCTGAGAAGCCGGAGTGGGAAGGAAACCTTTTTTTCTCCATAACTCACCCGAAAATGTTTCGATGGCTTTCATCGCCCAGTGGTCATCGGGGCAGTCCACGAAGGCATAGCCGTTCTTCATGAGGAACTGTCCGGAGTAAGGGATCTTATGATCCTCGAAGGTTTTCACCAAGTCCTCAGCGGTCACGCTGTCGCCCAGATTCCCGATGTATAGTTTGTGCATGGTGCTTTTTATTCTTTACCAAGAGTCCAAAATATGGAGCAAAAAAAAAGAACCCCAGAAAAACTGTAAGGTTAGGAATCCGTAAAGTTTAATAAAGCAGCTCCCGTCGCTGCTGTCGAAAACTAACTGGAATTAGTAAGGAATTAGACTAATAATCAAAACCAATAAACGCTACTAAATATTGTAAAAATAAAAAAGATGTCCAACAATGATGAGAGTGGATCTGATTGTAAATCCAGGTGGACTAGAGGAGCAGAAGCATTAAAAAAAATCCGTGATTCGAAGCAGCAGCAGCTCCCGTGGGCTCCGTGGATTGTAGTGGGTCAGATCTGCTGGGTGGGTGGGTGGGTCTGGAAGAGTGGGGGGGAAACTCTGGCGGGACCGGATCAAATCGGGTGTAGGCTGTGTTTTCCTCTCTCTCTCTGCGAGCTGAACGGTGACGCCGCCCCTCCTCAGCCTCCGATTCACGCGCTTTAACCACGTGGTCTGTTCGGGATAGGGCAGAGGCGGAAGAGGCGGGGCCTGGTCCTCCAACCCTTTCAAGGGATCACAGCATAGATATAGAACTGAATAGATAACATAGAAATATAAGTGAATATTCTATAGATATTTACGGCCCTGCTCCTATTGGGCGAACAGTGACAGTAGCTGCTTCTTCTTCTGCTATATTTAAGGCTAGCTGTGTGAGCTAGCAGCCAACAGTGTTAGTTGAGTGATTCAACTTTAGGCCGTTATTAAATGTAAAATGAACGCCGTCCTTCATGACTTTGTGTTGTGGAGACGTAAAGAGGTTCATGTTGGTATTGGAAGGCAGTCTGTTAGAGAGGTTCTTCCAGAAAGCAGGCTCCAGGCTCCAGGTGCTGCTGTAACCCCGCAGCGGCCCTGCTCCTCTCCCTGAGCGGGCAGCTCCTCCAGCCTACAGTACGGCAGAGGTCCTATTAGCAGCAACACTGATTCAAACATGGCGGCTTTCCCTTCCTGCCAGCACCTACAGCGGCCTTGCAGTAAAATCTTTTAACTTCCGCTAAAACAAAGCTGGTTGTCCGCGCTGCACATTTGTAACGGCGGTTTTAGCGTAAAGGCTCCAGGAAGTGTTAGTGAGTGGATGGATGGAGGGGTTTATGGTGAAATGAGTTTAAGTTGTTTTGAACAAACATGGCGCTGCCTCAGACCTCTACCGGATCAGAAGGCCTGCTCTAGCGGAGCAGCCTACGTGGAGTAGCAGTGCTCCATCATGGCGCCCGGTGCCTCTAATCCGCTCTCACTTCTTCTGCTCCCCTAAACATGAATCTGATTTAACGTGGGCGGTTTTTAACAGCTCTTATTTGTGTGAATCATATTTCAGGCTAAACAAAGCCGGACTGTTAGTTAGGAGGAGGATGGATCTAAATCCCTCAACATGGCGCCACCTTATATTCTCAGATTATAACAAAACAAGGGCAGTTTATGTGGCTAATAGTGAAAAGCCCAGGCTCTGAGCTTCTGAATATACAAACCTCTCAGTATGATGGTTTTAAATCTTAAAGAGTGACTGGAAGGAGTTAAATACACAATAAACCCAAATATCTTTTATTTAACCACACTGCTAATAACAGTTGGCTGCTCTAATCAGCTACTGATATAAATGTCATGAAATTCAGTTTTTTTTCTCAGGGGTTTTTCCGTTCCCTCAGAAAAACTCCAGCTTCTTCTCTCCCACACACCTTTCTTCTTTTTGTGACACAAACAGGTCAAAGGTCAGTCTCTGCAGCTCAATAAACAAGCAACACATTTTCAGACCAAAGAAGTGAGAAATCCTGTACTTATGTAAAAAACTGATTTCAGAGAGTTTAGACAACACCATCAAAAGACTTAACGAAGGTTCAGAATTCTCACTTTAGCCTCTCCGTTTTTATAAATAAACATCTGGAAAGACCGTTCTACTAATTGATTTACAAAGAAACAGTTTATGGAATACTTTCATGGAAAAAACAAAAATGGTTATGCTACAAAAAAAACCTCAAAAATCTGAAGTTGAAATGTGTTAAAATCAGTTAATTTGTGCCTTAATCTGAGCTGGTGAAATAAAAAAATGCACTAAATGCAAAGAAAAAACAAAAAAAGACCTGGATTTTATTTATTTTTGCAGCTAAAGAACAAAGTTTCATCAAACTAGTTGACAGCACCAGTTGGTTGTTAAGAAATAAATAATCCCATTCAACTGTTTAGAGCAGGGATGGGCAATTCCAGTTCCTGGGCACCGGTATCCTGCACATTTAGGAGCCCTCCTTGGTCCAACACACCTGAATCAATGAGTTTCCTTCTCAGGATGCAGTCAGTTCCTCCAGAGTCCCCTCTAGCATCTAATAACATGATTCAGGTGTGTTGAACCAAGGGTACATCTAAAAGTTGCAGGAGAATGGCCCCCAGGAACTGCAATTTCCCACCCCTGGCTTAGAGCATCTGTTCCAATGATGACCTTAAAAAAAATAATTTTTCCTAAAAAAGTGAATTTTCCCTTATATGAGCAGATAAGACAAAATTTCCTCCAAGGGGTTAACCCTTTATATGGCACTCAGTGCCCAAAACACTCAAGTCATTCCAAAAGTTTCCAACTTTGAAGACGTTTCTCTTCCATCCAGGAAGCTTTTTCAGTTCAAAATGTCAGAAATAGCGTTGAGTTCCAGGCTTTATACAGTAGCAAAACAAAACCCTGTTGCTTAGAAAAGATGCAAATTTAAGCAAACAAACTGGAATTTTAATGACATTAATTTAATGTACATCAACATCTCACATTCAGATAACTGAACATCAGGAGGGTCTTTACACTTTTGGGTTTGAAATGAAGTCATGCAAAGGGTTAATGTCCCCGGTCCTGTTTCTTTCAGACACATTTTATAGGTAAACAAATAATCCAGACCAGTCATTTTTAGTCCAGCAGCTCGATGCAAAGTTGATCTCTACCCTTACTTTGATGAATAGTTTTTAGGACAGAGAACAGTCTATACGTTAGGGTGCAGCTATGAACGAGACCCAAAGTTAGAATAAAACATTTTTTAAACTTCAATGTGACACGCATGTAGAGTTCAAAGTGGAACGGATAGATGTAACGGCTGACTTTAGGTTGGGTCTCTGCAGCTTCTCCGGGAGGCAGGAATCTATTTCAGACAATTTGACAAACAACAATAAATTAGTCAACTAAATATATACAAATAAAGACTAGTAAACATCAAACCAAACACCAATTTCCAAACTTACTAAATTTCCCTTAACATAAATAGAAACGAAACCCTCCACCTAATAAATACAGCCAGAGAACTGACATCGATTAATGGAAATTGTCTGAAAAGGGGTAAGATGATTTAAAACTTATTACTCAAACCTCTTCTCCCTCTAATTAAACATAAATTAACTTAAAGTAGAGTAACCTCAATGTTAAACCTTTTTTTTTTCCAATATTCAAACGCAGCATAGATGGAGGTCAGAATGAGGCAGGAACATAATAAACGAGATATGAAAAGATAGAGAAGCTTAGATGTGAACATGAAGTGGATTCATCAAGGTCGATTTCATAGAACAGTTCAAAGTTTCTAAGGTTGAGCTCTTTCAGAGCCATAGAACTCAATCAACTAGAGCCGCTATACATTCTTTGTAGCTCGTCTCAGTTGGTGCATATAGTGCATGTTCACATTAAATATCTTTCGATATCTTTAGAAAAGAAACAAAAACATTCATACGATCTATAAGTGATCAAATGTTTTATATTTCAAGGAACTAAAAGCTGAAGTTAATTTTATCTGATTCAGTTTTAAAGAAAACAAATGAGGGAAAATATGTATAGAAAAACAACAATAGAAACTTTCTGAAATGATTTAGTTGGTCCTCTTGTGTTTGGAGCTCGGGAGCAGCGCTGTGTGTGTTTGGGGGGAGGGGTGAATATGCAGGGGTCAAAGGTTGGGGAGAAATGGGGTGAATGGGAATGCTGAGGGAGGAGACAGACAGCCTGAGAACATGCAGGCTCCTCATGCTTCAACCTTCTCTAGAACTCACCTGCAGACCGTTCTCCAGTCCTTTCATCAAAGCGATGTCACCACATTAATTTCTTTTAAACAGGAAGACTCTGAGCCACTCCCATTCCTCCATTTCTCACAGAGCCAATAAACAGCAGTAGAAAGTGATATTCTAGATCTGCCTCCTTTAGCTTCAGAAGAGCTACCCTCACTCAATACTGCCAGGAGGATCTAATCCCACCAGGTTTGATTTGCTCAGCTGGAGTCAGCCTGTCAGACCTGCAAGAACAAACAAATAATAGTCGGTGCATCATTAGATCAAAAGATTATTTACAATAAATTCAAAAAGAGATGAGAGCTAATATGCATCATCATCCAGATTCTCTTGGTCACATTTATAACTTCATTGAAAAAACAGAAAGGATTGAATATGCTAAAAAAAAAACTCAAAAATCTGAAGTAGAAATGTGTTAAAATCAGTTAATTTGTACCTTAATCTGAGCAGGTAAAATGAAGAAATGCACTAAATGCAAAGAAAAAAAAAGACCTGGATTTTATTTATTTTTGCAGCTAAAGAACAAGTTTCATCCAACTAGTCCACAGCACCAGTTGGATGTTTTAGAAATAATCACATTCAATCGTTTAGAACAGGGGTGGGCAATTCCAGTTCCTGGGCACAGTTAGGAGCCCTCCTTGTTCCAACACACCTAAATCAAATGACTGAGTTTCCTTCTCAGGATGCAGTCAGTTCCTCCAGAGTCCCCTCTAGCATCTAATAACATGATTCAGGTGTGTTGAACCAAAGGTACATCTAAAAGTTGCAGGAGAATGGCCCCCAGGAACTGGAATTTCCCACCCCTGGTTTAGAGCATCTGTTCCAACGAGGACCTTAAAAAAAAACAAAAAAACACACAAACAAAATAAAAGCAACTAAATTATTAATTATTCTTATTAAAAAAATGAATTTTCCCTTGATTTGAGCAGATAAGAACATTTTTCATGGATTACCCCTTTATATGGCACTCAGTGAAATACTTTAAAAATCAACATTTCAAGTCAGAGGACTTACATAACATTAAAAAATACACATATTTTGATGTTTGCTGGTGAAGATTCTCAGTCATCCAGGTCATAGTCATTCTATAAAGTTAAAAACAATCCACTGGACTTTGTTTCCAAGTTTAAAGACGTTTCGCCTCCCATCCAGGAAGCTTTTTCAATTCAAAATGTCAGAAACAGCGTTGGGTTCATCGAGGCTTCATCGAGTGGACCAAAAAGAAAGCCTCGTTTTGTTTTTAATTTGCATGTTTTCTAAGCAAGACATGGTTTTGTTGGGCTGCTGTATGAAACCTCAAACTTTACGCCGTTTCTGACATTTCACATTGAAAACTCTTCTTGGATGAGAAGAGAAATGTCTTCCAACCTGGAAACAAAGTCTACTGGATTTTTTTTTTTTTTTTTTACATTTTTGAAAAATATATTTGAATGAAGGTCAATGTAATAATAAAGAGCGGCCAATTATCCTAAAATATTAAGAAAAGTAACAAAAGTTCTTCTATACTCTAAGAAATTCATGAAATATATATATATATATATATATATATATATATATATATATATATATATATTATTTTTTTTGTTACAACATAACCTTAGACCTTAAATGCAGATAGACACTTCAATTTTTGACTTTTCTAACGCTGCTTATTACATTTTTAGCTTGACTTTTAAACATTTAGCCGTTAACATTTTTTCACCTTAATTTACAATAGGTGATAAATAATTCAAGCTCATCTAATTGGTTAAAAGCCAAAATAAACAGGTACAGCCAGGTAGCAGCATCTTGCATATAAATCTAAAGCTTCTGCACCTCACTGTGGGAGTGGGGGGGTGGGGTTCCGTTTGTAAGGGGTGATGCAAGTGATCAAAAACACTAACTTATCAAGGATTAAGGTAATTCACGTTTAAAATAAGAGAAAAAAAAATCATCTTTTCATCTCCACTTCCTCCCCTTTACCGACTCAAATTTATGAGAAATGCACTTTAGTTTCATTTATTTCTAGATCAGTCTTTGCAGAGCAGGGATTCAACATTTCTGCATCAAAATGTCTCATTGCTCTGATTTCATACAGTGATATTCTGTCTTTATTAGCTGTAAGCTAATCATTAGCTGTAAGCTAATGATTAGCTGTCGGCGACAGAACTAAAGGCTTAAATCATCAGCCTCATTCGTCCTTCATTTACTACACTGTGTTTCCATTCTTTGCCGTTTTCGGTACTTTATGATGAAGACTTCTGGCTCTTCCTCAGAGGGAACTTACTTGCTACATGAGGCAGAAAAAAATCTCACTTAAAAAAGGTCTTAAACATCATTTTAATGGAACCTGAAAGGAGGTCAGAGCGGATCAGTTTTCCCACTGAATCGTTCCGTCTGCAGGTTCAAACTGTTTTCTGCTCGTCTGATTAAATTTTAAAGGTTTGTTCTGTAGTGGTATTTAAGATAAGCCGTCTGCGCTCCTCACCCGGCGGTGGGGAAGGAAGGACACTCCATGATGACACCTTCAGAAATCAGAAGCAACATTTACTTCCTGTTCTTCATTTCTCCTGCATTCGGACCTCAGACGTCCAACTGGGACCAAACAGGTGAAACTAATGATGTAAAGATGTTAATGTTTCACTTTGAATCACCTGAGTTTATGAGTGCGTATATAACATGCAGATCTAGTGAGATTTGCTGACATCCTCCCACTGCAGCAATGGAGATCAGAACATAAAGAAAACTTCCTTTCAACTAAATCATTTTTGACCGAAAACGCTAAAAAAAGAGGCGAGATCTGCTTTAAGATCCATAAAACTAGACGCTTTAAAACGTCCGAAATAGGTTATTTATTTTAATGAGATAAATCATCTGTGGGTTTTCTGTTTGGTTGTTAAAAATATCTAAACATGTTTCATAAACATTAATACCTTTTTATAGTTTTTTTTTTTTACTTTAAACATAAAAGGCTTAAATAGAATCATTAGTCATATTTTCCCTACATCATTTTCATTTTCATCTTATTAGAAATACTTATTCAAACCATTTCCAGAGTTTTCCAGATGATTTAGGACTGAAAACAGGATCTCTGGAAAGAAAAGAAGGAAAGTTACACAAAGTCATTTCTGTAAATCAGCAGAAATGAAGTTTTACAAATTCTGCAAAGAAGAAGTGAAAAACACAGAAGCAGCAAAGTTGTTGAAAAGATCTGCCTGTTTTTGATGCTCTGCATCAGTTATTATGGGATTAAGTCCATTTCACAGTAATAAAGCGATGAACAAATTAATTTTAGTGTCCTACGCTGCGAAAACAAACTAAAAATGAGTAAAGATGTCTTAAGTGGATTTACCCTTAATTTGAGCAGCTAAAAAAGATGATTTCCTAACTGAATGAGTATTTTTACTATTAAAATAAGATAATTATGCACTTGAAATAAGACAATGCATTTGTTTTTTCTTATTTTAAATGTAAATCATCTTGTTCCGTTGGCAAAGTGTCTCACCTGCCTCATCAATTCAAGAAAAATGCATTTATTTAAAAAAGAAGATTACTTATTGAGATTATTGTTGCAGTTTAGATGGTAAATCTATCATTAGGATAAAACTACAGCAAAACTGATCTAAAAATACGTCAGTATTTCTTGAAATAAACAGTTTTGCAACAATTCAAGCAAGTAAAAGAGATAAATGTACAAATGGAAGATGGATTTTTTCCCCTTAGAGATAAATTAGATATTAGACGCTTTAAATATGTGTTTATTTTCTTACTGTAAAAGTAAATCATCTTATTTCGTTGTCAGATTGTCTTACCTTCTCAAATCAAAGGAATATACAATTATTTAACTTATTAATATCTCATTTATTGCAGTATTTTTATTATTTTTTGCCCTTTTCCCCCAGAAAAATATGAGCTCTTCTTCCCCTTTCTGTTTTTAGGGTTTTCTTTATCAGCCAAAGCTTAAAAAACCTTATTTTACCTGCAGGTGAAATAAATCCCTTCAGTCTTTTAATCTGATGTTAAACTTTATTCACTTGTTTTTGGAAAACTAAATTAAGAACAAGGTGAGTTAAAGAGTTCAAGAATATTTAAGGTATTATTGTCCTCTTCATCTCAAAGAAAATATAAGATAAAGTAAAATATTTTCCAAAACACAATAATTCTGTTGCTTTCTACATAAAAAAAAAGCTTCTTTCTTTATTACTCTATTTTTAATGTAAATATTTACCAGATTTCCAGCAAAGAAGGAAATTTAAATCAGCAGGAAAATAATAAACTCTGCGTCAAACAATCAGGAGCAAAACTTTTCCTAACGAATTTAAAGTCTTAATAGAAACAGCCTGACGAGTTAAATGAAGATCAAAGTCCTGCTTAGCTGCTGCAGGATTAAGATTTTAGCTCCAAGAAAAAAAAACAAAAATTTTTTTTTTCTTTCTGCATTTTGTTGTAATTTATTCAACTCAGAAAAGGTTGAAAAAAATAGGTGAGAAGTTTCTGATAAATGTTTCTAGAAGGGAGCAAATAAATCCTGAGCAGACAGGTGAGGTCAAACCGGTCAGATCGTGGAGGGAAGTCCATATAAGGGCATCATTTTTTAGGGCTTTAACATTGGGGATGAAGAAACGGAAGCAGGCTACCTGACAGGCAGGTGCCTCTGGCTTCCTGCGCTGACATCATGGAAACAGGAAGTTCCTCCGGCGGCATTCAGCCATCATTGAATGCATCTTTCAGTCAGGAAGCATTGCTGCAGACAAGGAGAAAGGGTTTCATGCAAACATGGAAAATGGAACCAAAATACAGAAACACAAAGCAGCTTTTTCTGCACCGATGTCCGTTCGGTTCCAACAGCAACACCTTATTTTTTTTTGTGTTTAAATTTAAATGCATGTTACTATTTTTTTTATGCATTTTTATAAATGTATGTCATTTGATTATTATTGCCTTTTAATAAAAACCCATCAAATGAAAAGGATCCCAACATTTACCCAATTACATTAAAAAAACTATTAGTCATTAACATTCATCTTCATTTCAAAAATACCATCAATTGTGACTAAAACTAAAACTTTATAAAAACTCATCTTAAGTCAAATCATCCTCAGACCAGATCAAATGGATTAATTTATAATTACTAATAATTAATTAGTTTCATCCTGTAGGACTGGGGTTGGTTGCATTATTCTCTGTTTTATTCTAACTTTTCTGATGAGTTTCTGTTTATTTCGCCATCTTGGAATCGACTCCATGGAGGAAATGATGCTGTATCACCATCAGACATTTCCTGCTCAAATTTAAAACTATTAGTTTTAATAATTATCTTATTTTTTTTAACTCTTAATCTGTTTTCACTTCCCTTCTTGATCAACAAATAACCTTAAATATAAAAAAGAGGGGATGGTGAGAGAAAACAGGAATAAAGCAGCAATTAATATTTTTTTATTTAGGACTAATAAACTCAGCATTGAGGAAGTTTATTAAAGTATTTCAATTCTTTTTTTTTTTCAAGATAAAAGAATAAAAGCAGAATAATGTAGCCATAGAAACAGGAATCAAACCATTTATCAGCAACTCTCATGTTTAATGTTTTTATAAAATGTAAATAAGGAGGAAGTGAAGTTTTAAAAAGTCTGTCTCTAGTTTCATGGTGTTTAATAAAGTAAAATGGAGCTGAAGTTTTTGTGAATCTAAGGAGGAATTTAAAGCCCCATGAGGAGGAGGAGGAGCATGAGGAGCTCAGCCACACAAAATGGAGCTGGATGGGGGAGGAAGGGGGAGAGAGGGGGGAGGGGGCTGATCAGGGAACAAAGCAGCACAAACACACAGAAAAAAAAAACACTTTAAAATTTAATTTAAATCATTTCTCTTTAACCTCTCGGCTTTCCGATCAATCCTCGAGCAGAAAGTATATTTTCCGGGTTTTTTTTTTTTGTTTTAACTCCACTTTATGAATTATTTAAAACGGTTAACTTACCATAATCACTGGTTGCTTTGCGGTTTTTAACGAAAACGAAGCAAACAGCGTGATTCCTGCATGAGAAGAAAGAAAAACAGACTAAAGCGGAAAAACTACTGGATCTGAACTTCCTCCTAAATATTCGTTTCTTCGTTACTCAACGAAAAACTTCCCGCTTTCATCTTGATCTATTTTCCTTTTATTAAACTGAGCAGTTAGTTTTGCGGTGGATGTTTCGTTGAAGCCGTTTAAAATGAACCAGGAGCGGTGATCCTCTCAGCCTGGAGAATACCGCCACCTGCAGGCCGGCAGGTGGAATGACAGCTAGGCCCGGCCGGCAGAGGCCTTCCTTCCTGAGGCCTTCAGCCTCTGCAGGACAAACAGAACCACAGCGATTTATCTGCTTATATAAATAACGCTTTAGTATTACCATGTATTCAAATCTAATGTCAACTTTTAATTATTAACATTTCCTGCTCATTTTTTTTTATTTCATCTTTAAAAAAGTCACATTATTACCAACAAAAACAAAAAAAACAGCATAATTATCAAATATTTGACTCAGAAACGCGTCACTACATTTTTATAAGTTTTATAGAAATTAATTGAAGGACATTCCTAAACTAATTAAGCCTCCCCGCCTTATCAAGTCCATCATGCTGCGGATATTGATGTTTTTTCTGTTTGATTGACTATCAGTGGTTAGAAATGATTGATAAGCGCGTCCACAAAGGGAAGCTGAGCGGCTCAGGATCCGGTGCCGGATGCGGAGAAGCCCGGAACCGAAGCGGAGCGGAGATCAGTAAATAAAGGGGCGGAACGGAGCCGCGCATCGAAATGACAAACAGTTTCTGATCAATAATCGAAGGTCGAAGCGTTCCTGCTCTCCTCCCATCCGATTCTAGATTTTAATTCGCTGCGATCCGCACCGGAAGCGCGCGTGACCGAGAGCCGAACGGCGAGCAATCCGCGTGACAAGGGCGCGCGTGCCGGCTGAGTAGTTTGCTTCGTATGCGCGCGCACGTAACGCGCACGCTGAAATTTAGAAACTGTTTGGGAAAAAGTGAAACTGGCGGAAGTAGTTGGTATTAATAGCTCATCCAGGATCATCTACATTGTTATTTATTATTATTATCTTTGTCTGACAATTAAAAACAAAAAAATTAGATTTAATTTAAAAGCAGAAAGACACTGATTCACATCTGAGCTTCTAAACTTTGGCTTTGAGCTTCAAACCCAGGCAGGAATTTAGTTCCTGAGGAGAAATATAATTGAAAGAGTTTTAGCATCCAGCTTTAGCAGATCAGCACATCCATCCATCCATTCTACATTCCATCCATCCATCCATCCATCCATCCATCCATCCATCCATCCATCCATCCATCCATCCATCCATCCATCGTTTATATTTCAGGCTCTCTGCAGCATCACCACCTGCAGAAAAGGTCAAGCATGGGTCCAGCGGCTGAAGCTCACAGGCCAACTGAAAAACAAACATTTCTACTGCAGAAATGGACGGGAAACAATGTGATTAAAGAGAAGGAGAAAGATGGGAATCGAACCATCAACCCTTTAATTGTCCTTGATAATAAAATAACCTTTTAAAACCTTGCCAACTTCAAATTCCCACTGACATAAAGCTGCTGAATGAGAAGTGGGGCACATCCATCTGCAGGTATTAGATTCTTTCCAAAAAGAAGAAAATGAAACGGATGGCGGTGAGTTATGGAGTAAAGCTGTTTGATGGGGAACATTGTGAAAAACACGATTGTGTTTTTTTATTTATTTTGTAGCTCATCATAGTTCCGACCAATGAAAACTCAGTTAATCTTTTCTGAGCATCAGTGAATCTCAGCTTTAACAGAGATCTGATCTGACTGGAGGAGAAGCAGGAATGAAATGTAAACAGATCCACCAACACTGGGCTGCAGAAAACAAAAAGCAGAGCGAGGTGCTGATTCTCTCCTCACTGCAGGTTAACGGATCTGAAATGAAAAGACTGCTGATCACAAGCAGAGCAGAAGAAACCCTGATGGTAACTTTAACAGATAAGCCTTAAACAGGAGGAAGTTAGCATGACTGAAGCTTTTTCTTCAGAGATCAGAACTATAAAGGAGGGAGGATGATGATGATGATGATGACGAACGCAGCCAAGATTGAGAGAAGAAAAATAAAAACTAAACCCACCCAACTGAAGAGTTTTCCGCATTTCCAAAACCTTCTTTCAACATTTGTTGACCAATAGGTTTTTTAAATAAAATAATCACATAAAAAAAAAACTTTGCTGGAAAGTTGTTTCTTATAACTTTGGTTTCATGCGGGGAAGAAAAATGTGTTTTTCAAAGACAGTAAAGAAAGTCGGGTTCAGTGCCGTTTTCTCTGCTCATCGATTCCCAGTTATGCTTTTTCTACGAAGCACATTTCTGTAACACTTTATTCATTCAGATAATCAAGCAGTTATAAGATGCAGAAAGCGTTATCTAAATAACTTCATTTATAAACTGATTTACTGCGCAGACATATTCAATTAATACGAATTATTGCTCCAATGAGGTCCGTTTGTCAGACTAAATGCAGGCCAGGCTTTAAAAAAATGGCCTTTATAAAACATACTTTTACCTTAAAGGCAGAGCGTGTGATGTTTGACCCAAATATTACCTACAGGAGATAAATGAAA